TATATAGATTGTCTATATCTTAAAATTAAATATCGCTACTCTGAGTTTCACGTCCTTTCTAGACGATCATCAGGCGATTTTGTTCACGATTTTGTTACTGATTACGTGATTGCATCGCCTGATGATCGTCTAGAAAGGACGTGAAACTCAGAGTAGCGATATTTAATTTTAAGATATAGACAATCTAATAAGCTCTGCTATACTTTTAGTATTGAGCACTTTATATATCTGGACAACCAAAACAAATTGAATTATATATATATATATATATATATATATATATATATATATATATATATATATATATATATATATATATATATATATATATATATATATATATATATATATATATATATATATATATATATATATATATATATATACAACGCAGAGAGAGAGTATCTGTCATGTGGGCGGAAAAAAGGATTATCCAAGCGAACCGAAACATGATAAAGAAATTAGTAAAAACTGAAAATGGATTATTTAGCTATATTTACAACAATATCTGGTCCTCTGGGATTGTATTTGGTCGAAAAAATACATAAATTCCTATTATCTTTTTCGTCTAGAAAGGACGTGAAACTCAGAGTAGCGATATTTAATTTTAAGATATAGACAATCTAATAAGCTCTGCTATACTTTTAGTATTGAGCACTTTATATATCTGGACAACCAAAATAAATTGAATTATATATATATATATATATATATATATATATATATATATATATATATATATATATATATATATATATATATATATATATACAACGCAGAGAGAGAGTATCTGTCATGTGGGCGGAAAAAAGGATTATCCAAGCGAACCGAAACATGATAAAGAAATTAGTAAAAACTGAAAATGGATTATTTAGCTATATTTACAACAATGTTTCATATATTAAAAGGATTAAAGTAGAAAGGAAAGACCCGACAAGTAGAAGAAGGTTAAGTTAAAGTGTTATGTGAACAGTTGTAGTTCTTTACTAGCTTTAAGTCCAGTGTTAAGAGAAGGTTTGTTGTATTTGATAAGCAGCGCTTCAAGAAGAGCAAGAATGTTGTGGTTGTTAGATTTGGTAATGTGAAGTATTCTGTAGCTATTGAAAACAAGGTTTTCAATAGGAGAAGAGTTGTCAGAAGGCAAAGGAAGATCGTTGAGTATAATGTGAAATGGTCTTGTAAAGTAGCTAAGAATTGAGCATGTTCACACTCAGAAAAATGTTGGCCCACTGCACTAGAAGAGAGCCTAGTTGCATGCTCTTTCAAACGTACAGAAAGGCATCTTTGTGTCATGCCAATATAGGTTTTGCCACAAACAATCAATGTTGAAGTGGTCGGAGGAGTCTAGCTGCCATATATCCGATACTTCCGATGCCGTGTGTATGTAAGGAAGTGTAATTCTCGTTTTTGTTTAGTTAGATCGTTCCCTGTTACTTTGTTGTTTATGTGACAGTGGTCATCTAAAGGGTATAGTCATTTTCACGGCAGATCTTAATTGAGATGCTTAGGACAAGACTAAACATGCCCGCGAGTTTAAAGAAGTACGACATAGTTTACACAAACAAACATTTAACCGTCACATTCACATCCCTACAATTTACTTAGAACTAAAACGCTCGCAAAAATTTCTTAATTTCCAAACTGTAATTTATCTTTATACCTCTAACCTACCCTCGACTTCTTTCCCTACACTTTCTCGCGATAACAATATAATCACCCGCGTTCCATAGCAACCAATGGCATTCAACATACTGAAATTCTACATCAACCGATCAGACAGCGCGATTCGACTATTAATCACGCACTGCATAGAGGGCGAAATTACTCAAATATGATTGGCTAATGATGAGGGCTTTTTCTTGAATTTTGTGAAAATTCAGCATACAAAGGGGCATCGGCGAAGACAACAAGACAATTTGGGAAATTCTGAAAACACGCGTGAAATTAAACTTTAATTTTACTCGGCCACATGGGATTACCTATATATACCAATCCTTCTCGGTTGAAGACTCGACGTACCGAGTCGAAAGCTCAAAAACAAATATTTTTTTATCAGAAGAACGCTGTATAATTTGTAAAAATTATAATTTAAAAAATTGCCTGGATTACAAATCTTCAAGTTTATTATATATACATACTGTACATATAACGAATGATGAAAAATTGTTTATTTTGCCACTAATAAAAATTAGATAATTATGTTTACAATTGTGTATGAGATTTCATTTCATTTAATCAAATAAAAGTAAATATTTTAAATTTATACTATGTCAGCCTATAAATATTGAATTAAATTGAGCTCAATAATTATTTAGAAGATGCTTTGTAAACAAAAGCGACTGGTAACTTCACCTGCGTCTTCACCCAAACAAATTCCCCGGTTTTCTTGTCACATTTTTTTTTTAGCACCATATGCCAGTATCTTCTCTCTGTACAGTCAAATGAACAGTTGCTGCAGCATATTGCCTTTGGAATTTTCTGGGGGAGTCTATTCAGGTCTTCGTCCAACACGTATGTCCAGGGACATGTACGGTTATTTGGGTGGCCGGTCGGATTCTTGTATCCTGTTGGAGAACTTTGGAATTTCTTCAAAAGATCATAGCTGTTTCGTAGGATTTTAACGGTTGGAACACGCTGTGTATAGAGGCGCGTGCAATTAATTGACTTCGCTTCAGTCTGCCATCGGTTGAGGAAAAGGAGAATTGTTGTTATAGACTATAGAAAAGAAACATAGGCAGCTTTGAACAGTATTCAAGAAATTTGTTGAATGGTATAATATGCTATGGTGTTGTATGATGTGGTATGATGTATGTAGTATGGTGTGGTATTTTATGGTATGTCGCTATGGAATTATGTGAAAAGAGTCAGTCAACGTTCAGGCGAAAGTCGTGGGTTTTCTCCCGGTGCTCCGCGGTTTCTTCCCACAGGGAAAGTTGACAGGGTGGGGTTAGCATAAACAGTCACGCAATATCACGATCAGGTTGTAAAGATAAAATAGTCTAATAATAATAATAACACTTTATTTAACGAGGATTAATAGATAAAGCTACCACTTGTTTCCAATCTGCTCCTCTAAAATTACATTAATACATTATCTACATGGTAACATTACAGACATTAATATAACTGACATACATTACAATTGCACAATATTATACCTATATCAACAAATATATCTATAGAATTAGTTAAAAACTAAAGTTCCGGCTAAATAATCTTTGAATGTTTAGTTCAGTTGACCTATAGCTAATATATAAGGCTCTACGTGCATGAGGTGAGTTTCTAACAGTTTGTCCAGCTAAGTCAGTAATTAAAGGTAAGCCAGTAATACTTGATGTAAAGGGCATTTGATCATATTAACGTGTAGATTTGCGCCATAGAAATATTTGATCGTGATTGTGTGCCTTGTGTAGTATGATGGTATGATATGATGCATGTGTATGGTATTCATAGTCACGTTGATAATTAAGTCGACTGGTTTCTTTTCGAGCTGACCACGAACCCAGCACAGAACTGGTTGCACTATTACATTTATTACGGAGCTACACGAATATGTTGTAATAATTTCGGTAATTCACAGTTACAAAAGAGCACAAAATGAAGTAAAAATGTAATAGAAAATAATCCTTTTTCAAAAACTCACCAATAAATTCATCTTTAACTTTTAGCTCCAATTACTGTCGTAATATTCTTTCTTGTTCGTAATAGTCTCGACTGTTCTCGTACTGTTTTCTACCAAATCTGACTCTTGGACAAACTCGCTGCTTGCTTTTATACATTTTGAGCTGCGCTAAAAATACACTTAGTGATACCTTGAACTGGTGCGGGCTGAAACGATTCTGTAAGCGCGCGCCGTTCTGTGTGCCTCGTTCGATTACGGAAGACCTAAACCTAACGTGTGAATATTTAACGAGTTATTTCACCAACGGGAAGTTGATTGCGACACTAGAAGTAATATTTTTTAACAATGTTCCTTCACAAGTAAAGTTTAGTTGATATATTTGCATTCGTTTACGACTGATAAAGTCATGCTAGCGTTCCTTACATGCTCGTACTGTGGGCTAACAAAGAGGTTTTCCTTGACAAATTTTCTTGGCATGATAGTATTATAGTATTTTATGCTAATATTCGTATTTTTATGCTAATAATGTCATGTATTCCAAACTGGTTTGTGGTTCAATATTTTTTATTATGGACATGATATTATAGCTATTTTTAGTCAATACGAGTTTTGTAACTATTACCTATGTAATTGCAGTGGCATTAAACACGAAAATAAATTGTTACTGTAACTAATTTGCCATTTTCTGAATTGAAGCAAAAATTTCTAACGCTAGTGTAATGCTAATTAATTCTGCGTGGTTAATTACAACATGCTGCGCAAAGTCATTCGTAATCACACTATTCATCGAGCGATTTGTATGCCGGAAGTCTGTGTTTTTCCCGTGCGTGGTTATGAAAGTTTTAGTAACCGTTTCAGGCCGTTTGTACTGCAAAGTTATTTTTAAAATGGTTTCATTCCTGGAGGAACATGAAGACGGATTTATCTATGATTCGTTTTTTACGCCCACAATTTTTGTTGCAATTTTTTGGGGAGCCTACGTTTTAGTTTCACAATCAGAGGACGCGGTTGTTCAAAACTGGAACAGCGCTAACCCAGTGTTGAAAGTTAACCAGCTGTTTTACTTCATGTATCTTCACGTCTGTTTATATCAGAGAAGAAAATTCCTTCTGATCCAAACAAGATTTCTGAAGAAATATTTTCAAATTTATAAACAAGTTGTTAGGAAGTTTGCCTTGAATTTTAAATTAACATGCGGTTAAATTAATCGGTTTTCGAACGCATTTCACTCAATATAGAACTGCTATCTTTACATCAGTAACCTTGTTTCCATCTTCGTACACACGTAAAACACACAAGTTGTAACAAACCTGCAACAGACTTGTACCAATGCTGTTTCAACAACTTGCCAACAGGATATGTTCGCACTGCTTGTTCCCAGCTTGTTGGCAACTTCCTACAAGGTTGTTGAGCTCAACAGACTCGTTACAAGCTGTTTCAACAACTTGTTATCGTCCTGCAATTTAACAATTTGTCAACAAGTTGTGAGTGACAACCTCAGTGTAGCAACTTGAAATAGTAACAGCGTTGTTACAACTTGTTGACAAGCTAGCTACAAGCCTGTTGTGCACAAATATTGTTGACAAGTTGTGAGATTTTCACGTGTGTATATACTCTTCTATATCTTAGCCAATGAAACGTCGCGCCAAATTTTGTTTGCCTATAGTTTGAATTTCATCCAGTCAAATATTAAACCTTCTAGGTGTGGTTTTATCATGCATGTGAGGATTTTGATAAGTGCACTCGTTAAAATGAACGTCACTAAGGAGCAAAACGCATTTTCACATTCAAAAAACTGAGGACATGTTACGACTTGTATTGTTTCTTAAAGGCCGATTCACACATGCACAACTGTTTCCTAAAACTGTCGCATACCACCTGCTTACAACTTGAGTTGTGCTCTGTAAATCAAGCACACGACTCGTTGTCGTCTGCGAGTTGAGTCAGGCTTGATTTACACAGTACAACTGAAAAGAGCAGAAAAATTGTCACATGCGCAAATTCAGAACGCATTACAAACTTATTGACAAGCACAACACCGGATATATTTCCCACGAAGGTTTTCGTCAAATGGCTGAAAAATTGAAAGAATTCGCTCGCATGTACTATGCCATTGAAGATATTGTAAAGTCCTTCAGTCAAACGCAGTTCAGTCTATGAGCAAAAAAGATGCGAAAACGATCACAGATAATGTTCATAATGCCATCTTCGATGTCGCTGATGCTAATCAAGATGACTTCATTTCTCTACAAGAGTACAAAGTTTATTTCCATATATTAGGCCATGATATCTCGGATGAAGAAATTACGCAATCTTTCAATGCTATAGATAGCAACAAAGATGAAAAAATAAGTCGAGAGGAGTTTTTGGAAGCGGCATTTGATTATTCCATCAATGTTGACGAATCCGAAGTTAACAGATAGAAGATAACATTGACTTTATCACTTTCTGATATTAAACTCTATTAGATACTAAACTGTTCTGATATTTTTTTACAAAAGGCCATACAGGTAGCGAACTACTTAAATTAATAATTGTTATAATTGTTTCTCAGCAGTTTACAAAAAAGGACAATACCTTATACCTTAGAAGCCAATAATGGAATAATAGACGTTAATTGACTTTTTCCTGTCATGTTAATACGAGTAATATGGTCTTGCGTTTAAGGTATAAGCATTTAACTTTATTGTAGAATACCGCCTACACTGGACACCCACATTTGAGATATCTTTTTCAGGTAGTTGAGACACAAACCACGGAAGCTTTACCTACACTGGACCACCACATTTGAGATATTTTTCAAGTAGTTCAGACACAAACCATGGCAGCTTATCACTATAGAATACCGCCTACACTGGACATCCACATTTGAGATATCTTTTTCAGGTGGTTCAGACACAAAACACGGAAGCTTTACCTGCACTGGACCACCACATTTGAGATATTTTTCAGGTAGTTCAGACACAAACCATGGCAGCTTATCACTATAGAATACCGCCTACACTGGACACCCACATTTGAGATATCTTTTTCAGGTACTTCAGACATAAACCACGGCAGCTTATTGTAGAATACCGCTTACACTGGACCCCCATGCACATTTGAGATATCCAGCTGTTTCAGGTAGTTCAGACACAAACCACGGCAGCTTATTGTAGACTGATACCCCCTACGCTGGATCCCCACAATTTGAGATATCTTTTTCAGGTATAGTTGCGAGACACACATTTTTAAAATAACTCATTGTGTATCTACACTGGCCCACCATGTACGTTTAAGACATCTTTTTCAGGTAGTTAAGTCAAATCTAAATTGAAGAACGATCGAAGTACTGAACCATATAATTATTGACCAATATATTTTTGTCGCCTGAAAAAATGGGATGCCTAGTAGAACATATTAATAAACCTAATATGAACAGTCATTACGATAATTGTGTTAATTTATGGGCGTTTGCCACCGTGGTATACCAACATTACACCGATTCGGTAATAGACAACTTGCATGTTAGACTAATTTTTGTTGCATGCCCATATATGGCATGCAACTATCATATAGCTTAAAATTCGTGTCCGTTGGTGGTGAAACTTGCGGCAGATCACGTGGGACGAGCATAATAACAATAAGCATAATTATAAATTTTGAATCGTGTGCACGTTTTCTTCCATGGTTTTCGTCGAGCAAATGCATAGATTCGCAGAAAATTTACATAGTCGAGCGCCTTAGAAAAATACATCGAGGTAGGTAAAGCTTTGCTGTTTTAATTTACTTTATATTCTGTTATTTTGTTGTGATTTTGGAGCCGCTGTGCTCGCACTGATTATTTATCAGGCGTAATATTATATAACGTGAAAGCCCACGCTATCAAAATACTAAATTTAAAGGTGATCTACAGTCCGATCTGCGCATGTGCACAAAGGAGCCCACTTTTTATGATACAAACAGTGTAACTATGTTTTGGGTTCTTGAAAAGCCTGATTATTGTTTCTTGACAATTTATTATACTCTAGAAGCTTGAAAATATAAATAGTTGTCGAATAAAGCTCAATATTTTGGACACAAAAATGTAAACAAAGGCTTTGTTTACATACGGACTGTAGAGCACCTTTAATTAAATATAATACTCAAACTGAAGTGGAGTTATTGTGCTCGCATTGATTATATTGTGTGCAAAACTTCAAAACTACAGTAAATTTTGTAAATAACATGAAATATATTAAAAATAACAAACAAAATTCTCATTAATACTATTGAAATTACAACGAAATAGCTTTCTACGTCGATAATTTCAATCGTAGTTTAACAATTATTCTGTAGTAATTCACCGTTTCCATGTTTTTTATACTTTCAGTAAGGCTACAATAAAGGTAAATTTGTAGGGGATAACATTATTTAGTTATAAAATAATAAAGGAAATCTAACAGTCAATCGCTTTCGATAAACCTTGAACTTGTTTATATTACCGTCGCCTGCATCTAACGATGAACAGTTGCTCATAAAAACATTGCCTTTTCGCGTGATAATCTAAAATTTTCTTATTTTGACATAATAGCCAATTTTCAATATATATATTGATATTAAACTTATTGAATCAATATATTAAGTTTCAGGGCAGTTGTACCAAACGTTATAAGCGCTAGCGCATCATAACCAGGGGGGTGACCTCTGGGGGGCGACTGCTTCTGTTTACGGTACTTGCTGAGTGACGAATCATCAATCATGACGAATAGCGCTAACGCAAAAAAAACACAATGGAAATTGACTTCTGTATAGTATTCTGTGTCATAACGTTTCATGGTTTTGATTAGCCTGAAAACAGACCTACGTTTCGCCCACCCTAAAATTTGCGGGTTGACGGATCCGTAGACCTTCTCCAAGTCTCTCTTTCATTGTTATATCGATCCACTATGGTGTACATTACATGACGTAGCACTGAGAGGCGGAGCGAGAAAGAGAGACTTGTCAACTTCGGAAAATCTCGGTTCAAAACTGAACCGAAAATGCAAGACTTGCTTTAATAGTTTTCTGTCAGTTTTTATATGTATTGATCTAGCACAGTGTAAATAACATGAGTTCCATTATACTAAAGAATACAGAAAGAAATTGAAGGAAACAATTAAAGCAAGTCTTGCATTTTCTGTTCAGTTTTCAACCGAGATTTTCCGAAGTTGACAAGTCTCTCCTTCTCGCTCCGCCCCTCCGTAGTACGTCATGTAATGTACACTATAGTGGATTGATACTATATGACAATGAAAGAGAGACTTGGAGCAAGTCTAACAGCTCCGTCAACCTGCGAATTTTAGGGCGGGCGTAACGTAGGTCTGTTTTCACGCTAGCTTTTGATGGCATGCAACATGTACGCACTGCGTACCTATTTTTTATTTAGGCAAAAAAAGTAAATTCCCGTAAAGAACTAACTAAAATTAGTAAAATTGCAAAGTTTGGTTGCGAAATGTTGTAAAATACAGAAAATATGGCCTTGCATGCGAAGTTTGCATATTTTCAGTATATTTATATTACGTGCGGAAATTGTTACCATTTTTGAGCCGAAAATGGTAACAATTTCCGCACGTAATACAAATATACTGAAAATATGCAAACTTCGCAAGACCATATTTTCTGTTTTTTACAACATTTCGCAACCACATTTTGCAATTTTACTAATTTCATTATTTTCTTTTTAACTGTTGTGTTTGATTCCCTTCTCTTTACTTAGATTAAAATTTTGTCTAACATGCATGTTGTCCATTAAATTACACCGATTCGCGGTGTTGCGCGAGCACTCAAATATTTAGAGGAGTATATTTTCCAACTCTCCGAGGTCCACACAAAAGCTATATATTCTTCACTGTCAAACGAGAGATCGTATAACAACCCAGGAAATATAGTAAATTAACACAATGTCAATGCTTTTTCTAACGACTGAGGAAGTTAGGAACTGGCGAAGAAAGATGGCGCCCATGCAATGAGACGTAATGAAGTCACATGCAAAAGAGGAATTTAATATATTTGCATAAATATTTCATTACTGTATAGCCGAATGAATAGCTACAGATGTAACTTTTATCTCTTATAGTCCGGTTGTAAGCGGAAAAATACAGCTTGGTTGCGCTAAAACGCTCCAACCATGAGGATGTTGTATCGTCCGCCGAACCCTTTCTGACCTAAATCCCATCTTTTAACGACAAGTCTAAAATATGCTGGAACAGTGTTGTGAAACCAGAAATATTGTTCCGCTTACTTTTATGCAACACTGTAGAATTGCCCTTACATGACGCCAGGGTTACGTTTTAGACTGATAGGGCTATCCAATGTGAACAAACGAAATAAAAATCAAAGTTTAATATCATTTTGAAAATTCAATGGCAATATTTGAATAACAGAATAAGTATAATAAAACTCGTCTTCTTATGATAAATTCCATGTTGAATCATGTTGCCATTCTTAAGCCCCCGCTTCCACAACTCAATGTTGAACATGTGTCAAATGTTATCAAAAGCTGATTCGGCGTTGTTTACAACATTTAACTGGGGGGGGGGGGGAAGACAAAGTGTGTTTTGTCAATGTTCAACTGAACTTTGTAAGATTGGCTGGAATGGTCTCAAGGGTTTTGTCCAAGATTGTAGGCTTTTCTTACAGAGATAACGTGACGTCTTCGGTGAAGTTGTTTCCATCGACCCGGCTACGCTTTCATAAAAACATGCCTTAGTAAATTTCAAAAACCTTTTGCAGGTATTTCAGACACTGTATTAGACTTCAGTATTAAAATACTAACTGTAATGTCTATACTTTCAATGTAACAATAACTGCAATCTTTATGTTTTGTAACTAACTATGGGAAGTCTAGCTTGCTTGTTTATCACCATGGCAACACAATCACGATTACGTACCACTCACTGTTTCGGCTAGAACCGGTCGCCATTTTGTTTTACGTTGTAGAATACCGCTAAATTGAGATTTTTTGTGTTTGTGAATTGCTCTTCTTGTAGCGAAAACAACAATAAAACTATTTGGTCCGGAAAATGTCAATAATAATGCATGGACATTGTAATTTTGTAGTTCCCTTTTAGCTTATTTAGTTAACGTAATTATAAATTCAATAATAATAAAGTCGCCGCTAATTCGTTGAGTAAATATTAGGAGCTCAAAGTAAACTTAAACAATTGTACCAAACGATTCTTTTAACCAGTGGATTTACAGTCGATTTTACAAAACTTTTCCCAAAATGTTCGGAACTTCGTATATAGTACCCAGTTCAAAAGTTCATATCAAAACTCCCGAGACAGTTTTCAAACAAACCCTCTGATTGGTCCCCTGAATTAAAAGAAGCCAATCACATGCATAGTTTACATACCAGTGTGAGAGTAATATGATTGTGAACTTTCGAACTTCGCCTCGAATATCGGAATTACAAAGTTTGGAACATTTTGGGAAAAGTACTCTGACTGTAAATTCCAACCAATTCGATTCGATTATAGATTATTTCTACCAATTAATCGCGCACTTTTATAAAATAAAATTATCCGCTAATTTATATGCCAATAACACGTATGCTATAATAAAATTCAATTAATAAATTAACACTGCCCGATAATTGCTAATACTATATGAATTTCAATCCATTTAATCTTTTGCAAACTGTTTTGGGGGAACTGTACGCGTTATACAGATGTTTAGCTCTGGTTTCCATATATGGTCGTAAAAATGGAGTCACGATCTTTCTCAACAGCCAGTTTATAATAGTTTATACCAGTAAACCACATTTAATATACCTGTAAACCACGTATTTTCAGTTCTAAAATGTTATATTTCGGCTGATGAAAAAGATCATGACGCAATTATAAATATATTAACCATATGGTTTTATACTATATTATAATATACATGTACAATTAAGTGGACCGATTCAAACTTGTTTTGAATGATTTTAATTAAAAATCGAAGTCAAAAACAATCTCAGTGCATAACTCCATTAACGGACTATAATCATATCAGCATATATCGAAAATTGATTTTTTTATCATATTGCCTTGGAAAATAGTTTCGAATCTAATTTAATTTCAACTAGCACAAGACTTTTTAGCTAGTTTGTTTCACTAATTGCTGTATTCGACAGCCAATATATTACAGTATTCTTTGTATAATGGAAGACAATGGCCCACCATGGAATCACACCATGCGTCGTTGTTTTTCGGCTATACAGGATGTTAAAACTACCAGGTACAGTACTGTCATCATTACTGACGATGTGGCCTGACCAATTACGTCAGTTGAGATCTAAAAATATTTTACCATACGGCTATAAATGCATGCGGATTGCAGGTTTCACCACTCAAAACTAAATCTCTCTGTGCAAACGTAACAGTCAAAAAGCTTCTATAAAGAAGAAACGTTTCAGAACATTGCAAATTGATTTGTGGTAAACCTTTGTTGTGAAAATGGTACGTAAATACTGTGTATGTATAGAGGCATTACAGTTAAGAAACTGTTTATGTCATTTCTGTATTTCTTAAGTTGACGGTAACAGACTTTCTACAATTTGTTCCAACAAGACTACAAGTGTCAAGTTGCTAAATAGTTTGTATACGAGTTTGTTATTGTAAAGCTCTGCCGTATACAGACGGGCAATTTTTTCTTTGACCATTTTCCTTGCCAAAGAGGCTTCTTCCTAAGCTACTCACGCCAGCTTTTGTACAACGAAAATTTGTTCGTGCATGTGTACGACCGCCGCGAAGGAAACTTGGCAAGTGTACGAGAAATAATTCTATCCATGTTTTGGCAAACAAAAGGCCTAGGCGATCTTGATGTGCGATAAATGTTTAACAACATTCTAGATCTGTGCATGCACACGCGAGCACCAAAACTTGTCAATGGAAACTTGTTGACCGTCCACACGAGAAGGTAAACTTGTCAACGACTGAACGAAAACTTGCTCCCCTGAGTGTATGCGTGGCTTAAATCAGACTTGTTGGAACAACATGTTGCGAGTCTGTTGGCCTCTTCAACTTTGTCACAAAATCTGAAAATGATAACAACTTGTTCCAACTGGGAACATGAGATTTTTACGCGTATATAGATTAAACGAGAACGAGAGTTGACACGAGAGAGTTCCTCAATTTTTATTTCCCAGCGATTAAACGAAAGAGAGAGCGACTTAAAAATTCGCTCAAATTTATTGCTTGATCAAACGATCGAGGATAAAAGTTTACAGAGAATAAGTTTTGCCAACTTTTATGTAACTTGATATAATTAGTTTAAAATTTTACTTAACCGAGCTTTATTTGGCACGCATGTAAATATACATTATTGCACATAGCTAGCACATACTAACACAGGAATAACAATAATAAACCAATTTGTAAAAGCGTGCCAAGATGAAGAAGCACAAACGAGTGTAGGTCCCATGCATGGCGCTCACCATTAATTACTCAGGACAGTATACAGACAAAATAACACATTAATATAGAAGAGAAAGAGATAGGGCAAGAAAGCAAGAAGCTAAAGTACATACTAACACAAGAATAACAATAATAAAACAATATGTAAAAAAGTGCTAAAGATGAAAAAGCACAAACGAGACAATAGGTCCCATGCATAGTGCTCACCATTAATTAGTCAGGACAGTATACAGACAAAACAACACATTAATATAGAAGAGAAAAAAAGACAGCGAAGGAAAGCAAGAAGTTAAAGTACAGTAGATTAAGAGTGCATGAGGAGAGAAAGAACGACTGACGATATAGAAGACATTCAGTCGTGATCAATGAGTGTGACATAACAAAGTTCGATGTTTTGAGCGAAAGCCCTAATAGGTGAAACCCATCATCCCTTGCGCGCTCAGAGTCTAAGATTCTGGAAGGACAACCTTAATTGAATCAGCTGCATATTTAGATTTATCTCGACAACCGCCAGCTTGCCACTGTAGCTCAGTTGGTCAGAGCGCTGCACCGGAATCGTAGGGTTATAATTGTTCATTAATAATTCTGTTTCCTTTTTATGTATAGAATCAACATATATCCTTTTATTTTATCGTGCTTTTTTGCCTGGTATCATTATGTTCAACTAAAACACCAAAGGGTCCCTCATGTAATTCGTCCCAGTCTATCTCAGTAACAAAACTCAAGAATCGTTATGTGTTTGTAAATACGACTGGCTTTCTGCCGAGAAAGGCCAAACTTGGTCACCACAGCGGTAGTCACTCAGGGAACAGATGGTGTCCGTGGACGTGGGCGACAGACGTAGACCACTCTCGCTTACCACCAAGAATGGCTTTTGCGAGATGTGATAATTGTAACGCCGCATGTATACCCATGTACATGCATCTTGATGCATTAAAATGGGCTTCTCAATGTGACTCGAAAACCGGGGATAAATATCGTGAATGGTCGACAGTCAAGCTCCCTATAGCTTATATTTATAAAGGGAATATTTGAACTGAGAAATAATGACTTGGACTTAAATTAATCCATGCATTCTGTTCAACTTTACTTTTAATTGATATTACCAAATATTGTTTTTATGCACAATTTTAGATTAGCATTTCCCTTGAAGAATATACTCTATTTATATTCACTTCTAACAAGCACTTATTAATACACTTGTCTAATTATGTATCATTCATAGTTAATATATATGCGATATGTAGCCTAATGCCTCATATATATATGAGAAAAGATGGCAGAAATTGACCACCAATATAGCTATGAAGAATTTTTCTAACGGACCATATCGCAAATCAAGTTATCAATTCATAAAACCATAGTGTTATTCTTTAAATCGATTTCAAAAACTCAATAATTCATGAAGCAATTATCCAATCTTGAGTAAGAAATTAGTCACGTGCATACGTCTTTATACCAGCTAAAGAACACTTTAACAAAAGACCATTGTTATGCAAACTATATAAAGATTTTTATATAAAGATTTTTATATAAAGATTTTTATATAAAGATTTTTATATAAAGATTTGACTTATTATGCAAACGTTCTATTATGCAAACAGCAGGTCGTGTTTTATTAGGTCTAAAGGCTTTATTAGGTCAGCAGGTCGTCTTTTATTAGGTCTTTAAACCTAATAAAACACTCCTGCTCGTTTTTTAAATACTACTTCAAGCTTCATGCTAACCGCACAGACAAAGTGATAGAAAGGGATTGGACCTCAACGTCTAATTATAGCTCTTCAATTTCCGCCATCTTGTTTTCACTTTTTGGACTTACTCCAGTTATATATTGAGCTCGTCGGGGTTATCTCATTTATTTTATATCATAAAAGAGTATCCGTGAATCTATATATTAATTCGCATGCACATATATTTATTTAAAAGGCCATGGGCATAGTAATGTCTTCTTAATATAATTTATAAACATTATGAAAGTTATCTCAAAGAATTAACCGGTATTTTAAAAATATATTTGTTTGTAAAATTTATTTAAGCTATACTATAATTCTGGAAATTAAAGAATAAAAAAGAATTGCACATTACAATGGAAGCTGTTCTGATTTACTTTAAGCGTGTCTAAGTGGTTTTCAAAGCAGTTGTGTAATTGTTCTTTTATCCAACCGCGCAGAAGCCCTGGGTACGAAGTTGACCACGAACTTTCGACACCCCCTCCCCAATCGTAAAATTACTGTGCGGTCCCTTTTTCATCATTCGTATTACTTCTATTGGACTATAAAGTCAGAACACATACCTAGTGTGATGAAAAGTAGTCAAACACGTATATCCAACCAATTTTATTGTTCACTCCGTTATTCAAATATTACATTTTTAACAAAAAGTCCAGTTCATAAAAAGGCTACTGTATCTACATTGTTTTCATTAAAAAGAAGCATTATTGAACGTAAAACACAAGAATGATGTCCAGAAATCCCACACAAAATGTCTTTTTGTAGAAAACACACCACTCTATAAGTATATCTGTATTTCAATCGTATGGTACTTTTCGCATGGTAAATGCGTTAGTCCCATTCCGGATGTATGGTGAACGAACGCGGAATAGGACGATGTGGTAACACAAATGTCGCAAACTTGTTCTCGACTTTAGGATAGTTAGGTTTGCTCGGACGAAGAAACATGGAGCGCTTTGGAGCACGAATCTTCGGCAAGCGAGGAACATTCTCTAAGTAGGAACGACTTGACTTGTTAGTGTCAAGAACTTTTTTCCTGCAATAAAAAGATTAAGATTTTAAAAGACGAAGAATTCTATAGCGCAAATTTACTTCATGTTGATATGATAAAATACGCTTTACGTCGAGTATCACGCTTAGTATTACGCAGGAATATTGATTTGTAAAAAAAAATAGTAAAATCGTCTGGCGTTAAGGCCATGTTACACGGTGCAATTTTTCTTGCAACTTGCAATGCAATTCTACTCTTGAGAGATGTAAATATCGAAAATTCTTCACAGATTTCACTAATTAACATCTCTCAAGAGTAGAATTGCATTGCAAGTTGCAAGAAAAATTGCACCGTGTAACACGGCCTTTAGACAGAGTAAAAGACTAAAATAGGGTGCATCAGGGTGCATTGCCACTTAAAGGTTAATTAAACTTTTATCGCCATGCGAAACCACAAAAAACTAATTTAATGAACTGATTGTTGTCTAATCCGTATACTTACTCTGTAATGTCTTTGAGTTCATTGTTCAAACTCGCTTTACAGCACAACGCACAAATTCCATCTTTGTGTTTTGGTGTGAGAAAATTTGGCGAGTAGATTGGGGCCGAACGTAATGTGTGCTTGCGCTCTCTTTCTCCTGTCGGAGGCCTGGGACGGTGGATTGGAATATTCGAATTTGAAATAGACATTATGACCTGACCAATTGATAAGAGAAAACGGATGGCAGAGTCGTTATCTGAAAATGAATAAGAAACTAACTTAAGATTTGTTTTAGAAAGTCAGTAAGTATGAGTAAGCACACAAGTGAGCCAGGTGTGCTAAATAGAGAGGTTAAGATACCCCGGTTCCAATACGATATTGCTCCGGTTTACGGGTACGAGTATCGCCATTTTGTTTACCAATTATTGCTGATGTCAGCAATTGTACCCGTAATTTCTACTCGTTTCCCCGCGGTAAACCATGGTCTACACGTAAACGACAAACGGGTACGGGTCTTTTCTGTTTACTATACATGGGCCGTTTAAATAGTACAAATTTTCAACATCTTACCCAAATAAATAATGCACATATGCTGGTCAAAGTTTTCAACAATTTATGGCGAACCTCAACAGCGAAAGTTGCCATTCTCTGATCGGTTTTCTCACGCCGGAGTATCTTGGATTTCTTAAGTTACAAGTTATTCCCCGATTTACGGGTACGGGTGCGTGTATATCACCCGTACCCGTAAACCGGAATCGGGGTATCTTAACCTCTCTAATAAATCATCCTTACTTGCAGCTGAGAGCTAAGCTGAATAGACAATTCCCATTGTAGACTAATTTTAAAACTAGCAAGGAGATGCAAATAAATCACCATGCATAGCTAAAAAGAGCATACTAAAATGAGTAAAATTGCAAAGTTTGATTGCGAAATGTTGTAAAATGCGGAAAATATAGCCTTGCAAAGTTTGCAAATTTTGTACACTTTTGTATTGCGTGCGGAAATTGCTATCATTTTCGGCCCAAATGTATAAAATTTGCGAACTTTGCAAGGCTTCCGCATTTTACAACATTAGGGCCATTTATATACGTGACAAAATAAGTTGCGACTTACATAAGACGCGACTTAAATAAGTGGAGTTATCGCATAAATGGTTCTCTACGGCTTTGGTCTTATTTATTTGCTATAGCTATAATGTTGTTTTGGTTATTCTTGTTTTAATATGTAAGGCATTAAATTTTACGTTGTTTCAAGTTTCTGGCATGTGTAGTTAGACTTTTTGTCCAAAATTTCTTATTTAAGACGCGACTTAAATAAGAACAGCTAAAAGACCTGTTCTTATGTAAGACGCGTCTTATCCAAGACGCGTCTTACATAAGAATTTTGTACCTTTTATACGACAAACTCGCGTCTTACTTAAGTCGCGTCTTATGTAAGTCGCGTCTTATTTTGTTCCGTATAAATGGCCCTAATTTGCAACCATGCAAACTTTGCAATTTTACTCATTTTAGTATACTCTTTCCGGGAATATACTTTTTACCAAGATAAAAAATTAGTCTAATGGGAATTGTCTATTGCGAAGGACACAGCTCAATCTGATTGAGCCGAATGCTTTCAAAGGCCTTTGGCAGCCACCTTATGACTCGTGTCTATTCAGAGAGCATAAAGTAAAGAAATTCCCTGCGTGTGATACCTGTAATGCCAGCTCTCTGTAAAACTTGTTCAAGTACTCTAATTGCTTCGGGAGAGATGAAACTATAAGAAGGCTGCAAAAAATAGTTACCGTTATGTGAAAAGATATTCAATCATAAGGGACCGGTCAATATTTATGGGGGGGGGTGGCACCGAAGAAAAAAGGGTTGGGTAAACAAACTTTTGAGCAAGTAAATGAAAAACAGTAAGTTGGTAAATGAAAAACAAAAAAAAGCTCAAGGGTTGGGTAATAAAAATTTATTGTCTTTCCAAAGCCTGACTCACAGAAATATTGGAGATTGAAAAGCAATGTCAACAGTCATTAATTGTCAATACAATATGTGAATCAATTAGAGTAACTATCTTGATCATTTTCCGATTGTTGGGAGACAAATGGTGTCTCCAAGGAAAGTACATGTGCAGACAACATGAAACTTTAAGACTGCAGAAAATTTCACAAGCCATTATCAAACTCGTGTCACAGAAGTGGTAAAGGACATGTGTGACAAATGAATGTGTATTTATATTTTGGGTAATCAAATTCTTGACTTTTTAATGGTTGGGTCAACAAAATTTTTGCCACGAAAAACATTTTTCTTCGGTGCCCCCCACCCCTCGTCATAAATAATGATCGGTGCCTAAATGCTCTCATAAGATGAAGACTAAATACACTATAAGTATATAACAATGTACATCATGCATTCCATTTCCGTTCCACAAAATATTTTACTCACAAAATCTTGGCAATCTTTATCTCGGGCTGCGCCAAGTGCAAAAACTCTTTCTAACTCTTCTTGCTCTGAAAGTTAAAAACATAGGAAGTTTTTATGTTGTATGCCATTTCAGTTCTAAACCATCCCCCACTTTTGATCAAGTATTGCTAAAGGGGGAAACCTAAAATAGAGCCGTGAGTCCATTTAGGTTTTCCCTAGAATTCTGGTACTTATAGCGCAGTCCAGTGTCGGCTAAGGGTGGAAATCTAAGCAAAGTTGATTTATATTGGTTAATAGCTCTATCAGCTCTGAGCTGTTCTTCCTAGAGGTCAATGCAATAAGGATTATCCCTTACTGGTGCCATTACAGGAGGAAATGAAACAACGCCAGTAAGACTCTTCCTCAGAAGATTATTACAAAGGGTAACAAACTCAGGTAGTTCAGGCCACGACAGAATATATTCCTAACTTACCTTGCGGTGTGGCTTTTTTCAGCAAATTGGCAACTAAGGAAATCGCTTCAGGATTTAAATGAGGCAATGGCAATTGAAATGATTCTTCTGGCTTTCCAGAAATCTAAAAATGTTTAAATTCTAAGGCTAAGCCCTTTCTCTAGACTCTAAACAATACAATTCATAAATCAAGTCAAGGACTTTCAGACAGAAGCAAATGACTTGTTTACCTTCAATCTTTCAATAAGTTTGAGTGTCTCGTCTTCATTAATATCTCTGCAAATATTTGACGGTGAACGTTTTCGCACTGCAAACGAAAGGCAACGTTAAACAATGATAAACATTAGGCATATTTTGCTACTTATATTTTAAGTAAACGAATGTAATCTCCGAGTAAACACGTTTATATCTCAATGACGTTTGTACACTTCAGTCTAATGTCTTCATTGGGGGATGATCTAAGGGCTAAGGTCCTCCTTAATATAAGGATAAAGCAAACGGCAAAGTCAAATTTTTTTGGCTGATTTCTGTTCAACATTTTCGTTCAATAGTTTCTTTGTTATGTCAAAAGAATAATTATGCATTACTTTGCCCAGCTTAGGTTAGTTAAACTATATATACTCGAAAAAACATCATCGGCAAACAAAGCGATGATACTGTTATTTGCATGTGTATTCATAATTGTAACTTGGTAGTCTTGCACTTGAACAAGAATCATTTTGTTTTGAATGCAATAACACGGATATCTGTCTCTGATTACAAGAATATTTTCACCAGTAGTCGTCTAGTCGATGAGATCATCGCTCGAGTAGTACAAAAGGAGTCATCAAGTTGCGACTCCAGCTCGTCTCTGATGAAAACACTGGGCAGAGTGTTGATACTAGATTGGAGTGTTGAAACGTTGGGTCGTAAAAGTAATTTGTTCTTGGATTACATATGTCTAACATCATAAAAACATATTAACAAAGAATAGAACTGTTTGCAATAAGTATTATTCAGGTCTAGGTTTGTTTTACACTGTGTGTACATTTGACTTTGATAAAATATGTGCAAAACTACATTGCGTTGTGTTGCGTTGCGTTGCGTTGTGTTGTGTTGTATTGTGTTGTGTTGTGTTGTGTTGTGTTGTGTTGTGTTGTGTTGTGTTGCGTTGTGTTGGGTTTGTGGTGTTGTGTTGTGTTGTGTTGTGTTGTGTTGTGTGTTTCGTGTTGTGTTGTGTTGTGTTGTGTTGTGTTATGTTATGTTATGTTATGTTAACTCGCGTTGTGTTGTGTTGCTTGTTATGTTGTGTTGTGTTTGTTGTGTTGTGTTGTGTTGTGTTGTGATAACTCGCGTTGTGTTGTATTGTATTGTGTTGAGCTACGTTGTGTTGTGGTATGTTGGCTTGTTTTTATTGCATTGTTCCGTACTAAGCTGCACTGCACTTTCCTATACTGCACTGTAGTCATTGTACTTTGAAATTGCATTGCACTGCACTGTTCTACACCACACTGTACTATTTTATTCCATTCCAAGCCTTTCCTTTTTTTTTACTTACTTGGCCTAGGATCATCTTTACCCCTGTATTCCTCACTAAAATTCTGCAAGATGTTACTGTATTCAGCGGCGTAGGGCTCGAACGAAGTTCTATTGTTAAGTATAGGTTTCGATGGAACTCTCCAGTTCATAAAAAACTAAAAAACGATGTTTATAGAATTATTGAGTGTGGAAAAAAACAGACAAATAAATAAGACTTCCGGATTGACATGGCTGGTGACACACAACTTTTCATCTGAGCGGGTCCACCTTTCACCTTTTTTTGGAATATCTGAATTTTTGAACAAGGTTTACATAGGGCGCTTTCCATTAACACGGCCAGACCGGTCAAGTTGTTGAATGGAACACAAAAAGTTTGGGCTTCGGACCTATCTGACCGGAAAATTGAGATAACATTAGAATGAGGTCCATTTCCGCTAGATATTTGAGAAACATAGACCAGATCTTTCCATTGATACAGAGAAAAGAATTCGGGTCTGACCATGCAGTCAGGCCATTAAATGGAAAGCGCCCATAGGAGAAGTATAAGCGACAAAAACTAACATTTCCGCCCCGCACTTCAAAAAATCCCTGTGAGTATTTTGTATTAAAATAGTGCAAACGTATTCAATTAGTAAATATTTACTTCACTCAAGGAAACAAGTAAAGTTGCTATTACCTTGAGCTATAGTGATCTTACTCAATATTTGAAGTCAAAATGCAGTGTGGTGTCATATACTTATGCGTATGCTGCCTCAAATTTTTCTTTTCTTGACAAGTTTACCTTCTCGTGTGTACGGTCAACAAGTTTTCCTTGACAAGTTTCCCTTGAAACGTTTTGTTGCTCGTATGCACGGAATGTTGTCAAAGCGATTTATCTCACGTCAAAGCTGCCTTTTGTTTGCCAAAACCGTGCGTCAGGTATTTCCAGTACACCTGTCAAGTTTCCCTTGGCGGCCGTACACACAAACAAATTTTCCTTGTCCAAAAGCTAGAGCTATAGACTAGACTAGACTATAAAGCTTTGGAACACGGCTCCAGTTGGCAAAGAAAAGTCTTTTTTTTGCCCTACACACGAGCCGAAACAAAAGTTGTCAAGGAAAACATGTCGATGAAAAACGCCCGTCTCTACGACTGCGGCGCTTACGTGGAACCAAATAGATGATCACCTTAGATGGATGTGGACGATTTCTCCTCGTTGCTGAGCATGGTCGCTTCTCGGAAGGCGTGCCATCTTTCTTTCCATAGTCCATACTATATGAGGTGATCATGGTCTGGACGCCTCCCCATGTCGACAGCGGGGACGCGGCTTTCTTTTTTTCCGCAACGCTGGGCATTGCTGGTGGATTTATTTCTTCTTTGAGCGGTGGCAACACGCTTGTCATTTCCTATGGCGTTTGTCAGTTGCTGCTAATCGCGTTACCGCTTTATTTAATTACTTTCATTGGCTTTTCTTTGCAAGGATTTTTTTTAATAAATGTGCGTTGCGCAACAGCTGATTCGCAACCGGCGCGTGTGAATAATTGATTCACATATGACGTCACAATGTGATGGGTTCGTGTTCGAATCCGTTGCCTCGCGTCACCTAATTACACGCAAGGAACACGTGATTCGTTAATTATACACACGTAAAAACGCACAAGTTGTAACAAACCTGCAGCATGCAGACTTGTACACGCGTAAAATCTCACATCTTGTAGCAAGTCTGTTACATGCTTGATATATGTTATATGCTTGTTAACAGCTTGTTTCAAACTTGTTGCAACAAACTGGGAACAAGCAGTGCGAAGACAACTTGTTGACAGCTTGTGAACAGACTTGTAACAGCTTGTGAACAGACTTGTTACAAGCTGTACGTTTTTACCTGTGTACACGCGTCAAAACGCACAGTTTGTAACAAGTCTGCAAACAAGTTGTGTACAAGTCTGTTCACAAGCCGTCAACAAGTTATGTTCGCACTGCTTGTTCCCAGTTTGTTGTAACATGTTTGAAACAAGCTGTTAACAACCTGTAACAAGCTTGATGGCATTATCAGCCTTGTTACAAGATTGTGCTAACAAGTTTGTTACAGCCATGATATAACAAGGATGTTACAAGGTTGTCAACACAAGGTTGTAACAATCTTGTTTATATCAAGCATGTAACGGACTTGTCAGAACAAGTTGTTATCAGTTTGTTCCAAACTTGTTGAGAACTTTGGACGGCAAGCATTGCGAATAAAATTTGTTGACCGTTTGTTGGCAAACTTGCTACAAGATGTGAGATTTTTGCGTGTGTACACATTTAAGATCCACACGAGAAAATCTCACAAGCTTGTATCACAACAGGTTTGTAGCAAACCTGTCAACAAGTTGTAACAATGCTGTTATTTTATCAAGTTGCTACAAGGCTGTCACGCACAACTTGTTGACAAATTGTTGAATTGCAGGAAATTGCATTACGGTAACAAGTTGTTGGAACAACTTGCAACAGGTTTGTTGAGTTCAACAACCTTGTAGCAAGTTGTCAACATGCCCCAGCAACACATCCAGTTGGAATGCAGGGTGTATATTAAAAAACGAGACCTTTAATTTAGAAATCGAACTGTTTTTGTTAAGCACAAGATCACTCTGTATAAAGCGTCTTTTTTCGAAATCAGTATGACAGTGTACCATGTTACAATCTTAGACATAAAATTAAGACTATTTTTCGTAACATACATTGCGGACAAAACAAACTTCGCGAACCCCTTTCCGACAGTTGAATGTTGTAAACAACCTCGAAACCAATTTTAGCAATTCAAAATGTCACAAGCTCGACCTTGAGTTGGGGGTAGTGGGGGTTTAAGAAACGCAAAATGTGTTTGCAAATAATTTATCATAAGGGACATGTGAATTTTCTCAAAAGGCAAAGGCAAGGTACAGTCTGTGAGTTGGTTGCGCGTTTTATACCGATAATATCGCGTCTTCATTTTTGACGAGCTCATTGACATTCATCATAGTTGACATTATGTTGCCCAATTTTATAAAGTTTATTTGCAATTCCCGACAAATAATTTTTAAATCACAAAAAAACATGTCTGCCGCGTGTTGATCGTGCATGTGTCATGCTGATCTCGTGCAGCGATGCACGTGTGACACGCATTGTTACGTCATCAAAACCAAACGATTTCGCATGTTGCTCAAGATTTTCTAATTACACTTAATTAATCGAACAATGGGCTTAATAACATGTTTGTTAAAAGTAAGACAAGAAGAAGACTTGCAAGAAAACATTTGTTTCGCTTTTGAACGGTGAGTGACATCATATAACGGTCGCAGACTGCGTCCTGATTGATCGACTGCATCCGTCGACTTGATTCTCACATTGATGAGAGCACGGTTAATAGAATTCTATTAACCGTGATGAGAGTAAGTTGATGAGAGTCGTTTGACGGTAAACGCGAGTGAGAGAAACAACTCCCATCCTCCTTTGATCAAGTCTATATGTCGGTTTCCCCACCCCATCAGGGCGAGGGGTTAGATGGCTTAAGTGCATCCGGTCAGGAGGGGTCAGAGTGGGTGTTTGGGCGACATCAATGTGCTTGTATGATGACGCAACCTATCAAAATGGGGACAAGAAAGAAAATGCATAATTATAGGTCCCTTGGGAGTTTTAGATGTCGTCCTTGCTCTGTTTACAACAGCGAACCAAAGATTTTCACGTTTTGTATACAACGTCTGCTTTTCAAGGCGCGAGACGTCGTCCTCGGCAAATTGGCTTAGTAGAAGTCTTCTCAACTATAAACCTTTGTCTTAATCTTCTTAACTGCAATAAATTCATACAACGGATAATACAAGACATGTTGTTCTTAAAGTTTAATATACTTATTTGAACGAGTTTGTTTTGGCCGTCGTCGTCGCGTTGCAATTGCCGTCACCTATTTGCTAAATTTCCCTATTATGAGGAGGGCGCGGGCAAATAGAGCCTGGATCCCTCAAAATCTTTCCCAGGGCTTCTCCCTTTTTGTCTTTGGCAAAAAGAGAAAAGCCCTGAGAACGAGGTTGTGGTTGTGGGCCCTGAAAGGTCTCTGTCGGATCTGTGGTATTTTCACTAATGGTATTTTTCGCGGCAGGCAAGCCGACGTAATATATGCGAATCGGGTAAATTTCCAACACTGAGCGCATACAGTAATATTATAGCCACATATAGCTCAGTGCTTTCCAAGATGGCGGCCAATGCAAGCGGCGAAAATGACATCTCTTCTGTTAATATCAACTTTTATAACGTTACGGTAAGTTCCATTTGATTGGATTTAAATTGCATATCATCTATGATAAATAACCATTGAATATTTCATATGTTTAGCTAATTACAGTTGGCGTTGTGGTTGTTTTTTGTTCAATATGCCTGCTTGTGTTTTTGGTTCGAAGAAACCGCTCCAAAGGTCAGTGAATTTCGTGTTCTGCTAACTGTCAATCTAGTGTAGCTACTAACTAATCTTATTCCAAAAACCTAAGCTAGTTATATAAACTGCATAGCTCATAGATTTTACTGAGAGATGGATAGAGCTGCATAGATCATGTTTTAAATCTAATCTCCTGCCGGGCAAATTGTTTTGAAAATAAAACACGTATATTGATTTAATAATTATGCAAATTCAAGTGGTATTGATATAAGCACTGCTTTGCTACCGGTGTAGACTTGGTTTTGAAATTTGATCTTCCTGTCACCATTTTTTGTCGTCTTTATATAGGAGAACAATTTTTGTTGACTATTTGTTCCACACTTGTTGAACTATTTCAAAGTACAGTTTCCAAGAAAATTATGAACACTAGTTTCCCAGAATGAAATTTGGTTGCCATGAGATCTAGTTTTGCTTTCACATATTAGCAAATTCTGAAGCAAATGATTGCAATAAGGACTGATTGCATCAACATTATAATCTTACGTTTTTCTTTACAAAGTTGTGTAGTGCTGATTTCAGCTGAGAATCAAAATGAAAAGTAACACTGCATTCATATGAGACAAAAAGTTTTCCCGTGTACCGAGATCGCGCTTGTTGACAGGCGAGATCTCGGTGACCGGGATAATGGTTTTCCCATATGAACACAACTTTCCCGCTTAGCGGGATAACTTTCTGTCGTGTCAGCAACTTTTTAATTCAATTGATGTTCAGTGCCACGTCACAGCCGAAAACTTTACGCGGTAAGCGGGATAAAGTTTCTCCATATGAACAGAACAAAAGTATTGGGCTAGTCAAAAAGTTTTCTTGTTAACCGGGATAACTTTTGCCCATATGAACAGGCCCTAAGAAGCAAACAATTTTGTGTAGCAATTAATTTCTGGCAAGATACATCGCCGAGGTGTGTAGCATTAATTAGACAATATACAGTTCTGCTCATAAATACTACCTATGTATAAACCAAATGTTTAGCATATATGCATTTCAATTGCATTACCATCACATTCTAAATTGCATTTCAGTAGAACACTTTTAGAATTTTCTAAGTAAGATCATCTGACATGAAGGCCCGTTTCCGCTCAGGAAAATTTTCTGCAGAAAGAAAATTTTGTAAAATGTGATTGGTCGACACAAATTTTTCGTCAGAAAAAAATTTTGAAGTTGGAAATTTTTTACTTTTAATTAACAATATTTTCGGAAAAGTTTCTGTCCATGGAAATTTTTCTTGAGGGGAAATGGTCCTTTAGACATCTGTCTGTTCTGGGTGCAATGCCATTAAAAGGGTTAACATACAGTTATTACTGTATGTGGCAAAGCGAAATAAATAATAAGTAAATAATTATTATGACACATATTTTAGGAGACAAGTCAAGCAGCGCATCTGGACAGGCCAAGCCGAGGTTCAGAAAAAGAGACAAGATGATATTCTATGGCAAGAAAATGCTAAGAAAGGTTGGTTAACATATGACCGACCAGAAAGCACAGAAAGTTAGAAGGAATATAGTGATAGGAAATATCATGCAGTGTATATAGAATAAAGTAAAGAATGAAATGTTTCCAAATGGTGTTCTTAAACTGTTGTCAAGGCCAAAAAAATGCCTGGATTATTTGTTTTTTGTTGGTGTTGGTGTAGGTAGAGGTTTTTCTTTTATTTGTAACTTTTTTATAAACGTTCATGTGTGACAATGATACTTTTTATCAGTACAGATAGCACAAACATTTGTAAAAAAATATATCAGCTTTGAAACAAACAGGTTAGACTTTCTGTGAACAAGCTTTCATTGGATGCAACCACCTGAAAATATATAAGGAGAATTTCAATGTTTTGAGTCCGGTTCCCGACCGACCCTATTTTTTTCTGCCGACCCTATTATTTTTTCAACGCGATTGACTGTGCGACCCTATTTTCTCCAGGTGGTTGCGGGTTGCTCATACAGCATGCCAAAATGGCAGCTGTTGTCACACTAATTATTGAACCAAATTGCCTAAATTCGTCCATAGGAAATACGCATCTCTAGTTTAATATTGATGTCAGGACTCTACTGCAAATCGCCCAGCAAAAAACCGCCAAAACCATGAAAAAAATATTTAAAAAAAAAATTTTCGACCTACCGACCCTAATTTTTTCACGATATGAAACCGGAACCACAGGTATTTTTTTTTACGCCTAAGGTATATACAATATCATTGATGCCGGAGAAACGTCAGGCCTAGAAAATATTCTTGCTGGCAGCAAAATCCCAAAATAAAAATTTCCTGTTTAAGTCAAATGTAAAATTTTCTGCATAGGTAGATTTTCAGAGAAGTGCGCCCCCACCCACGGTGATGACCCTGCACAAGACAATTTCGATTTGCAAAACACTTTTGGAATTTTTAAACAATAAACAAATTATATGGCAATATAGAACTGAGATGACAAAAATTTTTCACAAGATGTAAGAAAAATTTCCCACAAAGATATTAAATTGTTAAAAAACCATAAAATAAAGATTTCTTTTATATAATATTTTCATGCAGTTTGATTACAAAATTTCCATTGTAAGTTATCACAATGACAGTCACCGACCTCTTTTCCAAAGTGACATTGAAAAACTGGCATCTTAAGGTGGCTCCCTACAGTTATTCTTGTTTAAGCAATAATTCTGTAAAACAGGCTTATTCGTGCAGAACGCGAATTCTTTTCGACTTGGTGGCAATGTTGGTCACCTAAGGAACATTTTAAACTAGATTTCGACAACATCAATGTTCCCATGGCAACATGACGACAGCATAAAGCCTTCCAATTTAACCCATAAATGTGCCGCTATCTCAAAAACGATGTCGGTGACCTATCTTTTTTATTTCATATATCAATAAGGAATGATGCTCTGCAACTGTGGTGAAAGTTTAAAAAAATTCTGTAGTGTGTGATTTTTTTAAAAGCGAAAAATTTATTGTGAAATTTCCACACTACAGATTTTTTTAAAATTTGAAATTTATCAAATTTACCGCAAAATAAATTCGTGGTCAAAATTTGAAGATAGGTCACCGATGAAACTAATGAGTAAAATGCAAATAAAGTTAGAAAATAGCCTCGTGTAACTCGAGAAATTCCCCTATTGACCAGACTGCAGAGTACGGCAAGTGCACACCCGAGATTTTTTTTGGCCAATGGTATTGCACACTTAAACATATTTCAAATATTTTCCAGTTTTGTCAGGCATTAAAATAAGGACTTCTAAGACAAGTGTAATATAACAACCACCTGAAAATCGGGAACGCTGATTGATGGGCACAAATGAAAAATGTCCATTAAAGTTTTGAATTTCTATCTACAGCAGAGTTTTGCGATCATCAGGTTGTTATGATTAAACAAAACCGTATAGCATGTAAGCATGGGCACAAGAGAACTTTTAATTGGTCCGATTTCCTCGAGGCGCCACCATGGTTGGCGCCGAACGGAAAATTTTTGAAATTTGGAGTCCCTACATTGTCGGAAATGGCATTTTCGAGTGCACATTTTCCATTTGCAACTCAATTACAAGGACATGCACATTTTCCTTTTACAGGACACAAAGTGTGTCAAAAACACGTTATTTTGTACGTGTTCATAATGACTTTTAACTCCGATCGAAATATATATTCTTGTTTGTTCTTCAGAATTTGGACCACGTTTTATTTTCCTGAGAGGCAGAAATTTTAGTTATTTGTACAAATAAACAATCATTGTTTAATATCATTAAAACATGTAGCTATTTACAAGTGCACACTTGACTACGTTAACTGAGGATTGCACACTTGCACACCTGAATTTTTGTCTTGCACACCCGAGATCTCGTCGAAAACTGCCATACTCTGCAGTCTGGCCTATTGAAAAGCGTCGCTGACTAGTAAAAGATTGTACGCGGGCGCAGAACGAGTTTTCATTCAGCAAAATCCAGCCGCAATGTTGTTTTTACTGTTTTGTTTTTGACAACTTTTCGATTTATTTGAGTGCTATGGACAGCCAAGGATTATTGTGAAAGATTAAATCGATGAAAACAAGGTTGAAGCTAATTGAATCCTGCCGTTTACTCACTCTATGAGCTGTAACAGCCTATTAACAGGTGGACGTGTTTTTTGTTTCATGTTTGGTTTTGTACTTTTTGCTAAAAATGAACAATTAGGCTATGAAACTGAAATATTTTTCTGTTTACATATAATCACTTTAATCTTGTAGAAACACGACTAAAAACGTGAACGTTTTCTTGAGAAGTAAACAACTTTTTAAACGTTTGTATGCAATTTTGCAAATGTTTTTAATACAGTTGAGTCAGTTGACAGTGTATAAAAAAAATTAAAAATATTGTTTCGTATCTATTTTTTGGTCTAGTGATATTCGAATCATACGTAGAATCGCTGTATAGACTCGCAAGTGATTTGGCACTCAAAACGAAGTATTATTCAACGCTTTTTTCCATTAGAGACCTTTCAGAAATAGCTTTATTTTTGAGGAAAGCATGGTTAATTTTTGTTTTGTTTTGATCATGCAGTTGCGTGGGATAGTTCACGTACTTGTCCCGCGAACATCCCGCACGGAACTGTAGGGAGCCTCCTTAACTTCTTCTACCATTTCCATGTAAATGGTAAACAACCAATATCACAGATTAGATACTATCTGTGGGCGAATATTCACCCTTAGATCATTTTCACTCCATCTGTAAAAAACAGGGTTCGTAAAAAACTTGAATGTCCTTGAATTTGTAAAGAAGTACTTTGAAAGTCATTGAATTTTTCTTGATTTAGTTTATGGATATTTCTTGAAATTGTTTGTCATTCAAAACAGACATTTTGTTGAATTGATTTTGCATGTTCATATCTGATAAAGCTGTTTGAAACTCATTGAAGTTGCGTTTTGAACAATTCAACGTCAGATTTACTGATTTCTAACCCCTTCGGTATTTAGTCCTTGAATTTGCTGATACATGGCCTTGAAAAGTCCTTGAATTTGACACTCTCTGACATGTACGAAGCCTGAAAAACTTAACGCTTCTACTGTACTTTCTGTTCTGATATGCTCAAAATCTTGAATATTCACCCATGATATATAGTTTACACTGGTATCACCTTATATATAACCACTGATTCCTGCCAGAGGTCTACATTTATGGTTGTGATTTTCGTTCAACATTTCCATCAACAAAAGTGCTAAAACATCGAGGCTTATTAAGCTATACCATAGATGCATTAAACACTTCAATAACCTTCTAAGGGCCTGTTGTTATGGGCAAAAGTTATCTCGGTTAGCGAGAAAACATTTCGACAAGGTCACAAGGGAGATCTCTCCTTGTTATGAAAATAATATGAAGAGTTACACTGCGTTCATATGAGACGAAAAGTTTTCCGTGTACCGAGATCTCGCTTGTTGACAGGCGAGATCTCGGTGACCGGGATAATGTTTTCCCCATATGAACACAACTTTCCCGCTTAGCGGGATAATTTTCTGTCGTGTCAGCAACTTTTCAATTCAATTGATGTTCAGTGCTACGTCACAGCCGGAAACTTCACCCGGTAAATGAGGTAACGTTTCTCCATATGAACAGAACAAAAGTAGTTGGCTAGTCGAAAAGTTTTCTTGTTAACCGGGATTACTTTTGCCCATATGAACAGGCCCTAACTAAGGGGCTGCTTATATGGTTCCACCATGGATAATAAAATAAATGGTTATGAAACTAGCTGACGTGACCTAATGTTTTTACTGGGATTGATGGCGTGGCTGGGTGCCTCAACCTAGTTGAAAACCAAATTCTCAAAAACGGCATGTTTAGCAATAATACAGCTAAACATTTTAGTCAAAGAGCAAATAAATGTAACCACGCCATTCTACGATGAAAACTCTAAGTATTCCCAGTCAATTTTAGCAAATATTTCAAGCACTAAACAATGAAAAATACATCGCAAATTTCGCAAAAATTTGTGACGCCAATTTCGTAGCTACAAATGTAAAAAAATACAAAACAAAGACGAAAAACATTTACCTTGAATACTTTGTCGTGGCTTAGGCATGTTTTTAAAACAATTAGACCAGTTTACGCTTCAAGATCACCCTTTTAAAGTGGAAAATATAGCAAAACAACAAAAATGCCGAGAACTTTGGTAACATTCGCAATACGCGTGACGTCACGTTTTTCAACAAGGATGCAGTCAATGACGTCAGAAGTTTCCAATCCATTTATTTTATTATCCATGGTTCCACTGACCCGGAATTCAATGAAGTGTGACGTATTTTGAGCAATTGAAATACGTGTTTCAGCCCTATAAGCAAAAGTTAGATAACTTTAAATAATGTTTAAACAAAATTAGGAACGCGCTAGAAGTTATGTAGTGGAAGAAGACGAGTAATAGCATTCGACAACATTTGTTTTTTGTCTAAAACATGGAATTTCATACCATTTTCTAACAAGCAATTTCGTTAGATCATGAAGTGTGACTTATTTCAATTGCTCAAAATACGTCACACTTCATTGAATCCCGGGTAAGCGGGACCATATAAACAGCCCCTAAGGGGCTGTTCATATGAGCCCTGCTCTGCCAGGCTGGTTTTCAAGTGCCGAGATCCCGCCTCACATATTGTTTGTATATTAATTTAGGATTGGGTTCATATGAGAACCGGGCCAGCCCGGTTTGCCGGGATCTCGCTTGAGCGAGGCGAGATCCCGGCTTGCCGGGCTCATGAATGCACAACTGGGCTAGCCCGGCAAGCCGGGCTGGAAATTTGCGTGCTTTATTCTACTGATAAACAGTCTAAAATGTCCAAAACTATAGGAATTTATTGAAATTAAACCTCCTGAAGCTGTTGCCGTCGGCAAAAATAAAATTTTGTCAAATAAACACGAATTTTATTTTCCCGCTAAAATATCGCGGGAAATCGTTACTATGAATAGATATGATTGCCGGGCTAGTCCGCCTCATGTGAAAGCAAAGCGGGCCAGCTCGGCAAAGCGGGCCAGCTCGGCAAAGCGGGCCAGCTCGGTTAACCGGGCTCATATGAACAGGCCCTTTGAAGGATTGAAATGTTCTTCAGGTAGTTAAAGCATATTTCACAGCAGCAAACTGCTCTACAATATAGCCTTGAACTGTTTGTGCCAGTGTTCACACGTAAAAACGACCAAGTTGTAACAAACCTGCAGCAGAGTTGCAGCAATTCTGTTCCAACAACTTGTCAACAGGATGTGTTCGCACTGCTTGTTAATTCCCAGCTTGTTGACAAGTTGTCAACGGCTTGTTGACAACTTGCTAGTACAAGGTTGTTGAGCTCAACAGACCTGTTGCAAGTTGTTCCAACAACTTGTTATCGTCCTGCAATTCAACAACTTGTCAACAAGTTGTGAGTGACAACCTTGTAGCAACTTGATGAAATAACAACATTGTTACAACTTGTTGACAAGCTTGCTACAAGCCTGTTGCGAATTACACATCTTGTTAACAAGTTGTGAGATTTTTACGTGTGTATGTAGCTTGTGTCAGGGCCTATTCTAAGGAAATTTTAATACTGCACACTTCAGAGCATGCAGGTGTCACCAGTGATGTCATCTTTGAATTGTTATGTTTTTAAAAAGAACATAATGACAATATACAGGGTGTTTTCAACAAAGTAAATCCTTTCAATTCAAGTCAACCATAACCTATTGTTACACAGTAGTAATTCGCTAATGCGACACAAATGGAAACGTCGTTCCCACGCTCTCTCTTGTGGAGGAAAGAAGTATACCGGCTTTTCTGGACATGAAAATATTGAATATTGTAATTATTAGTGGAACTTGACTTATATTTGGCCAATATTTGTTTGTGCCTTCGCTCATTTTGTTGCAAAGGCATTTTGGAATTCTCGACTTTATATTTCATCTACGTCGCTCCTTCAGCACATCTAATACAAAGTTGAAATTTATTTCAAACTTTAGATTTCAATACTGCGCACTTTCGCATTCAATACTGCACACTTTTTATTCAATACTGCACAAAGTGTGCAATACTGCACACTAAAATAGGCCCTGACTTGTGTGTTAGTGCCAACAATTTTATATGAACAATCTTTCGTTGGTAGAAATGCAGCTACCTGAAAAACATAAGGAAAATCTCAACGTTTCAAGCGAAGGCCCTTTGTCTGGAGTTACAGTAACTCCAGACGAAGGGCCGTCGCTCGAAACATCGAAATTCTCCTTATATTTTCAGGTAGTTGCATTCCTATCAACGAAAGCTTGTTTCTGCAATATACTGTAGCACTCATGTCATTGATTTGTGTTTATTTAAGGTGCGAGACACGAGAGATGATATTTACCGCAAGAGCAGAATAAAGGCACGGCAGAAAGTCATGTTGAATTTTGCTAAACAGTAAGTGATATATCTTTTTGTTTTATTATCTGGTGATGATTTCACAGCCTCATATATAAAGGGTCAAATATATGATAGCGCTATGCACAGAATAGTGATACATGTATTTTCAATCTTCCTAAAAATGATTGAAAAGCCGTAAAACAGCAGTTACAGGTAGGAACGTCGCAATCAATAAGAAGAAGTTTTAATCTATAAATTGTTAATTTTAATCCATTATTATTGTCGATTTCATGACACTTTTCAACGCGCCGTTCCCAAGTTCGTTGCGAACTTGCCAGTTACGTTTCCAAGTTCGGAAATTGGGCGCGAACTTCGCAACAAAGTTCGCAAGTACATTCCAATGTTTGAACTTCGTTTGTAAACAAATGTTCATACTCGATAATAATAACTAATTCAATGAAATACAAATCAAACCTTCTTGGTAGCCCACTGGACCAAGAACTTTCCATTGAATTGTTAATTTCAACTTGAACTATGAACGTTTGTTTACAATATAGTTCAAACACTGAAATGTACTTCCGAACTTTGTTGCGAAGTTCACGCCCTATTTTTGAACTTGGAAGCATAATTGCAAGTTTGCAACGAACTTGGGAACCGCGCGTTGAACAGTGACTTGAAATCGACAATAAGTTGCATTAAGTACATGAACTTGTGGTTAGAGCTCGACAACTGGCCTCTGTAGCTCAGTTGGTTAGAGCGCTGCACCGGAATTGCAGGACCTCAGGTACCATTCCTGCCAGGGACCTATAGTTGCAATTTTCGCAACTGTTCCTGGTTAGGTCTGACAAATGTATATAAATTTCCACTCGATAAGTTCCACCTACGAAACCCTTCAATTATCTGCCCATATATCTAGTTAGTCCAACATATTATTATTATGTTACTTTATTATTTTACTGTGTCTAATGCCTGCAGATGATTTTACTCGTCAAGAGGAGAGTGCTGGCGACGCCCAATAGGTTAATCTGGGTTACTCCAACCAACAGCTGATTTTACAAAACTTGAAAAAATGCAAAATGATCGGTCATAACGTTTACAATGGACGTCAATGGATCTATTCCCTAATGAACACAATTTTGATCTAAACAGGTCTAGACAAACATTTCATCACAGCTTGAAAGAGCATCACAAAATTAGTAATGTTCCGAAGTTTCGTTGCGAAATGTTGTAAAATGCGGATAATATAGCACTGCGAAGTTTGCTGTTTTTCAGTAATTTTGTATTACGCACGGGAAATTGATACCGCTTTTGGAAAAAAGGTATCAATTTCCCGTGCGTAATACAAAATGACTGAAAAACGGCAAACTTCGCAAGGTTATATTATCCGCATTTTACAACATTTCGCAACGAAACTTTGGAATATTACTAATTTTGTGATGCTCTTTCAAGCCGTGATAAAGCTTTTCTCTAGACTTGTCCAGATCAAAATTTTGTTCGTTAGGGAATAGGTCCATTGTATACGGTATATAAGTTTTTAAGACCGTTTTCCACTTCAAGCGTATCGTACCGAAACGTATCAAAAACATTTTTAAATTTCAAAATTTAGTGAATGTTGATTGGTTAATACGTCCGTAGTATGCCAAAAAGTTGACTGGCGACAAAAAACACCGGAAATACGTGGATTTATCAACCTTTTTTTAATCTGCGCATGATCACCGGTACGGCCTTTCGAAGCTTCTTACTTAACAGTCTATGTTTTCATAGCTAATAGCTTTATGCAAATCTCCAATTTCTACCTGTTAAAAAATTGAAAATTATAATTACAAATTCATTTCCAATAGTATATGCCATATATTACGACTCTATATGACAAAATATTTAACATTTTACCAAAAATAATCTCATTTACAGTAAACCCAAATGACAAATAATATGATACAAAAGTTTTCCCGCCAAAAGTGCCAAATAATGTTTTGGCTAAAAACGATGCTAAAATCGCCCGTTAAGAAATAAATATTTTATAGACCTGCTTGAAAATGTCGATTTTGACAAGTACCTGTATTTCTAAACAAAACTAACACGAATTTACATTTAAATTCAATACTTGCCATACTCAAACGTAATATACATACACTATATATAAAGCGTCCATTTTCATAACATGTTTGCAAAATTAAATTTTAAAGTTACGAGTTAACCGGCGTAGCGTTTGTTTCCGACAAAATACATGTGACATATTCACATATATGGTACTCTTTCTAAATGGAACCTGTACAGGAATTTCTATCGAGGATTTTAATTCCCAAAGTCGATTTTGGTTTCGTTTGGAAAGCTTTGGAATGGGTTCGCAGTCGCTTTTGCAGGCAAGATATTTTACGCTACCATCGGCATTGCATGGCTTATCAGTTCCGCTAATTTCCTTTGTCTTCGAATAGCTTGTTAAGGCTTATTTGGCAAAATGGTTGGCCTATATGTACAAGCTTGTTTTGAGTGTCCTTAAACGCTTTATCAACCTAGTATTTTACCCTTAAGAAGTAAAATTCTCTGGAGTTAGCCCGCGAGTCATGAGTAAAATAATTGAGTCCCATGCCTTGTTAGAAAATAGTCCATTATTATGCAGATTGAAATGATTAATTTGAGTTACCACTAACGGATTATTGGCAAATTTGGACCGCTTTGAGATATACACAATTTAGCGAGTACAGTATACCTGTGGCTGTATCATATAAATGTAATTACGCGTCGATTAATTGCCGTCTTCGACTTCATATTCAAAGTATTACCGTATACAATATTCAGCTCATTTTTTGTCGAAGCTGTACACATAGTTAGCCAAGATCATTTAGCTTTACAGCAATTGTGATATCTTCTTTTCCAATCTGAAAATTTCGGAATGATAGGCTTACAGGATGTACATTTTTAATAGGATGTACATTTAACAGGATGTACATTTCAATAATAAATACTGTTGTTAATATGTGTCCTGTAAAACCTAATAACGATAAAATTATCTAACAATAAACACACTAAAATAGACTATAAACTATATAGTAGCTAAGTAGTTACATGACGTGCAGTTAAAAATTTATAGAAAAACATATGTGGTTAAAGGTTTTTCTACGTCTGGTAGAAAATTCCTTAATATGTACTTGGTAATTTAGTTTTCGACAACCTTCTGACTGTACTAATTATTTCTCGTTGCCGACTATGATTAATTAAGTCAAAGTAGTTGTTAAAATTTTCACAAAGATTTCCTCTTAATGGGTTAAAAACGAGGATGTAGCACCGTCTATTTCTGTAGCCTTCAATTGACAACATTTTAACATCGAGCTTGTAAGTTTCTTTCGATTTTCGAGGAAAAGCCTGGTCCGGAAGTTACTGAGTTATAATTAGCAAGTTTCTTTCGTAATCTGTCTATTCTTAACACAGTCAGTCAACTTTTCCTGAAACGAATGCGTAATCTCATAGTCAGTTATGGCCATGCGTGAGCATTTCACGCTCTTATCTTATAGGCTATAATATCAAGATGCAAATTAGACATGTATTTTATTACGATTGTTTGTTCGTTTTCAGAGTTCTTCACTTACAAGAACAGGAACCATCCCGTGAAGTGAAAGAACCTCCACCTGCCTTTCTCGAAGCGGATTGGAAAGAGGTAAAATGTACTACTATACGCGTAAAAATCTCACATCTTGTAGCAAGTCTGCCAACAAGCCGTCAACAAGTTGTGTTCGCACTGCTTGTCCCAAGTTGTCAGCAAGACTGGTCTGTTAACAACTTGTAACAACCTTGCTGATGACATCAGACTTGTTGCAAGGTTGTTTCAACAGGTCCGATACAGTCATGATGTAACAATATTGTTACAACCCTGTGTCGTCAACCTTGCAACATTCTTGTTATATCATGACTGTATCAGACTTGTTAGAACAACTTTGTAACAAGTCTGATTGTTCCCAGCTTGTTGACAACTTGCTACAAGGTTGTTGAGCTCAACAGACTTGTTGCAAGTTGTTCCAACAACTTGTTGTCGTCTTGCAATTCAACAGGTTGATAACAAATTGCGAGTGCAACCTTGTAGCAACTTGATAAAATAACAGTCTTGTTACAATTTGTTGACAAGCTTGCTACAAGCTTCTTGCGAACACATCTTGTTGACAAGTTGGGAGATTTTTACATGTGTAGTCTACACACGAAAAAACGCACAAGTTGTAACAAACCTGCAGCAGACTTGTAGCAATGCTGTTCCAACAACCTGTCAACAGGATGTGTTCGCACTGCTTGTTCCCAGCTTGTTGACAAGTTGTAAACGGCTTGTTGACAACCTGCTACAATGTTGTTTAGCTCAACAGACTTGTTACAAGTTGTTCTAACAACTTGTTATCGTCCTGCAATAGGCAATTCCAGCTTTTAGTTTATGCCTGCAGGGGATGATGGAAAGTAAGGTATCATATTGCTGATTATGCTGAAAAATTTCAATAAAAACTACCGAAACAGCCGAAATATTTCAATATTTACAAGTATAAGCTATCACTCCGTGTTTACACAGCCACCATTTTTATTTTTTCAGCATAATCACCATTGTGATACCTTACTTCCCATCGTCCCCTGCACGCATAAACTAAAAGCTGGAATTGCCTATTCAACAGTTTGTCTACAAGTTGTAAGTGACAACCTTGCAGCAAATTGATAAAATAACAGCATTGTTGTCAAGCTTGCTACAAGCCTGTTGCGAACACATCTTGTTGACAAGTTGTGAGACTTTTACGTGTGTACACACGAAAAAATCTCACATCTTGTAGCAAATCTGCAAACACGTTGTGTTTGCACTGCTTGTCCCAATTTGTAGCAAGTGACATCTTGTAGCAAGTCTGCCAACAAGCTGTCAACAAGTTGTCTTCGCACTGCTTGTCCCAAGTTGTCAACAAGTTTGGAAGAAGCTGTTAACAACTTGTAACAACCTTGTTGATATTATCAGACTTGTTGCAAGGTTGTTCCAACAAGTCCGATACAGTTGTGATATAACAATATTGTTACAGCCTTGTGTCGTCAACCTTGCAACATTCTTGTTATATCATGACTGTATTAGACTTGTTAGAACAGTCTTGTAGCAAGTCTGATAATGCCATCAAGCTTGTTACAAGTTGTTAACAGCTTGTGTCAAACTTGTTACAACAACTGGGAACAAGCAGTGAGAACACAACTTGTTGACAGCTTGTGAACAGACTTGTAACAACTTGTTTGCAGACTTGGTACAACTTGTGTGTTTTTACGTGTGTAGACTACACATGTAAAAATCTCCCAACTTGTCAACAAGCCATCAAGCTTGTTACAAGTTGTTAACAGTTTGTTCCAAACTTTTTACAACAACTGGGAACAAGCAGTGCGAAGACAACTTGTCGACAGCTTGTGAATAGATTTGTAACAACTTGTTTGCAGACCTGTAACAACTTTCGCGTTTTATGTGTGTAGCAAGCTTGGCGACAAATTGTAACAATGCTGTTATTTTATCAGGTTGCTACAAGGTTGTCATTCTCAACTTGTAATCAACCTGTTGAATTACATGACGACAACAAGTTGTTGGAACAACTTGTAACAAGTCTGTTGAGCTGAACAACCTTGTAGCAAGTTGTCAACAAGCTGGGAACAAGCAGTGCGAACACATCCTGTTGACAAGTTGTTGGAACAGCATTGCTACAAGTCTGCCGCATGTTTACATACTTGTGCGTTTTTACTAGTGTGGCGTATACCCAATACAGTTATCATTCATACACACGTAAAAATGCACAAGTTGTTACAGGTCTGCAAAAAAGTTGTTACAAATCTGTTCACAACAACTTGTAACAAGCTTGATGGCATTATTTGCAGTAATAAATTTACGTGGTGTTTCCACAAACAAAACTATTATATTATCAGACTTGTTACAAGGTTGTTCTATCAAGTCTGATACAGTCATGATATAACAAGAATGTTACAAGGTTGACGACACAAGGTTGTAACAAAATTGTTATATCATGACTTTATCGGATTTGTTGGAACAACCTTGCAACAAGTCGGATAATATCAACAAACTTGTTAGAAATTGTTAACAGCTTGTTCCAAACTTGTTGACAACTTTGGACAAGCGGTGCAAACACAACTTGTCGACGGCTTGTTGCCAGACTTGCTGTCCGGCCAAAACATACGGGTAAAATCGGTCTTACATGTACATATAGTCTCGGTTTTCAGAATTATATTGAACTCTGTCTCGATCGATAGTGATAACTTTTGTAGGTTTGTCCTGGCCAATAGTCTAGGACCTGTATATGAGTTTGTATGCGATTCATTTAGGACAGGTAATCTCAACTGTTTTAGGGTAAAATGACCATGGCGGTCAACATGGCATATGTGCGAAAACCTGAATCCGGGACGAAAGTTCTGAAAATGA